TGAGGACGTTTGGAATGAAACCTAAATAAACAGTTTTTATATTTGCTTATCTGCCGGTTTACACACATGAAGACTGCTTTCAAAAATGCTTTGTGATGATAATATGTACAAACATATGTATAATAGAATTCTAACAGAGTCGAATCTGTTACACATAAAATATTTTTTGGAAAATCTTATTGAAATAGTCATTATTATCGATACAAAGGCCGAATCTATAGTTTTTAGAATTTATGTCTCCCTGTCTGTCTGGCTGTGACCGCACCGGGACGCATCATCGCACTGGACGGGCAGATTTTGATGAAATTTGGTATGATGATAGCTGGTTATCCCCGGGTCAACATATAGGATACTTTTTACCGCGGGAAAATATCTCATCTCTAAAAAATCTATACTAAACGCTAAACCGTAACTACGGACCAACCCGAGCGGAGCGAGGGTGAGTCGCTAGTATAAAGTATACGAATAAGTGTCGTTAATTTTATTATTTGATCATATGAGGAAAAAATCAAAATAAATCCGCGAAAAAAATCCAAAAAGATAGTTTTATTTAAAGTGTCAAATATTCGCGTAAATCTAAGAATGAATTATTTGATCAATTTTAAAATTATTTGCACTTCTTACTCGTAACATTGTAAAATAAGCGACGCTAACAATAACGTAAGGTTATGTAGGACAATCTAAAGAAACTTCCAATAAGCAGATATAAAATTTCTCCTTTAAAGTGTGTGTGAACATATCGGTGTCCAAGTGTGAATGCCTGAGAATGCATAAACCGAAGGATGCTTTGAAAACAATGAAAGCATTACACAAGTAGGTGCTTAGCACAATGACATTGTTTAAGCATTATACCTTAGAGCAACAGCTATATTTCAAATAGCTTCAATTATGTTAAAGACAAAACGGTATTATACTTAGTGTATTATAATTTAGCAAGTGACTCGCTTCGATTTTCTTAAATATGTCTCCTTCACTTTAAATAAAAAAAGCAATTCGACAATTAAATTTATAAACCCATATGTATTGGTTTTTGAAGAACATATTAGATATAAACACACAGCATGCAATTTCTGATACTTTTTGTTCTGAGGTCACACCTACATCGCTTCATCCTGGATGTGGCATGCGTTTATGATACTCAATGTTAATGGTGACATGCGAACGGTAAGAAGTTATAGAACGATTTATTGGGTGACATGCGAACGGTAAGAAGTTATAGAACGATTTATTGGAATGCTGAGTAGGTACAAGTATTTCTGGCTGCATAAATCCTTAATCCCTCCACGACCGCAGACACGCCAGCGTGTCAGTTAACAATAGATTTCTTAGAAATTTAATTAATTTCTTAGAAATTTACCTAGAGGTGTTAATAACATTTTTTTTAAATTTACAATGTACATATATTTATATCGTTATAGGTACATAAACAGATTAACATTTTTCATTTTACAGCACAATCGCCACAAAATATCGTAATTACTAGTGTTTTGTTTATTATATAGTAGAAAATGACATTTGAAATTTGACTGAAAAAAAAACACCATGGATTATATACGTTTACAAAGCAAAATTCCTATGGTATTTGTTAATTATAAAGGTGGTTGGTAACCAGCAATTTATCTCATTTAATGTACTGACAGTCACCGAGCACCTTACCTACTGTTCAAACTGTATATTATACAGTAAGACGGGGTATGTTGTAATTATTACAGAAGGATGGCACTCAACAAAATAAAAAATCTTTAGTACCTATAGAACAAACTAGTATTAGTAGTAGCATTTAATAATAGTGTATACATATTGTGACGTTGCTGGTACTGCCTACTCAGCATCGCTCAGACAAAACGGCTTAGCGGATAAAATTTTGACTATGTATTTCTGTAACGATTTTCGTTAATATTTAAGCTCTGGAACGGCGTAAAGCGATGGCAAATTTTGTATAGTAAATAATATCAGGAGTAGAACGCTAGTTTCAGATATAGATAAATACATGATTATGTTAAATAGGTGTCTCTTATGCTTGAAAGTTTTGATATTAAAGCTCTATGCAATTAAATCAGCAAAGTTTCCGCTGGCGACTTCTAGATAAGCTTTCTAATTAACTTCCGACGTTTGCGTTACACTTTGACAAAGTAGATAGAGGAAACATAACTTGATCCTTAAGTAAAGCTGACATTCCAAACAGCAAGCCTCACGGTTACACTGAACAATATATTGGTATTTTTAATTATTTTACTATGTCAGATTAGAATGTGGGACTTTTAAAAAGCAAGAGAGCTTAAAATTCACGTCAATTTCTATTTATTTGATTAAATAGCAAAATTTTGAAGCGAAACCTTTATGTACTACTTTAAAAGATTATCTGTAAGCGAACTAACAAGACCAGAGTATTATAACTAGCGCGTGCGATTCTGCCACAAATGAACACGACTTACGATCGTGACCGCCTTTTCTTGAAAAACTTTCCCACTTACAATAGTTTACGTCGTAATGTTGTCACTATTTTACTTGTAATATTATATTTCACAAAAAAAAAAACGATTTCTTTCATTTGATCATTTTGCTATACTATACTTATGGCTTAGATTACTCCGGTGCAATATTTGAATGGTCTAAAAATGAATTAGCTGTATATCCACTTAAATAACTTTGTTAAAACACATTCTTTAGTTATTTGTATCACATAATTAGTTAACGCGTTAAACTATCAGCATAGTTTGTTAAACTGAGATACCTAAGTAACATAATAGAAGTATCCTAATACGGCCCAGCCTTTTGTTAAGGGATAGCTTTAACGACACTGGTTTTATCGAACCTGTTAGAATTCAGTGAAAGATGCGTCTAGACGTTTCCATTTTTTTTGTTTATAGTATTCATCGGAAGAGAGATTCTGAATGGACTGTATAGCAAACGAGTTTTACGTCACAACCGGATATCTAACTATAGGAATGCACGCGTAAATAAGTTATGAATGAAATAAAATCATTAAAACCGGAATGTTTTGTTCGAAATTGTGCTGAAATGTGAAATTAAGATTTTTAAAATGATCTCTGTTCTAGATCAGAAGATTATAATGCTTCATTCTTACTCTAAATTCTGCACATTTAACCCTGTAATTTAATTCTCACGTAGATAATCATCATAAATTAAAACGTTTCACTGGAGATAGAGATTTTTTTTTGTTTAAAGTAAAATTTCTAACTTACTAATATTTTAGTTGACTAGCTCATTTACCATTTTATTTAACTACGCCTTAAGTTTGTTTAAAAGAATTAGTGTCTTTCGTGACATGTGGACACATGAAAGTGTCAAATATGTAATAAGTGCTAATGAAAATGACCTGCAGAGTCACGCTTGTCCGAATCCACAGGCTTGTTCATTACGCGTAACAGTACGTGTTAAGTCATTGTAGATAAAACGGAGAACTGATGCGAAATATTTTACATATGCAAATATACTTTGTACTTTTAATTTCGATCGTATGTTGTACTGAAGCAAATATTTGCTTTTTGTCGTAAAACGGGTTTAGTTAGTTCATTTATTTTTTGCTTAAGTCCAATTATTTACTTATTTTTAACCCAATTTTAAAGTTTTCTTCTAAAATTACAAATTTACAAAGGGTTACATGGACGCATGAATTATATAAATATTAGTAAAATAATTTTACAATGGCCTCTGTAGTTCGAGAGATATTTCCCTATTTCAAAAAAATATCTATTTTTATAGTGGATTATTGTAATTTATGACACAATTTAAAAAAAAGATCAAAGAAAAACAATGGCATTCCTGCTGACTGCTGAGTCTCTTTCGCCAGTTCTTCTTAGGACTGAAGCTGTTTTTTAAATGTATGAATAAGATATACTTTCACTCTGAACCAAACGATAGCGCGTTTTGAATACGATCAACGCCATCTAGGTTGACATAATGATGACAATTTAAATCGAATAACAAAAGAGTTAAATCTAAAAACCTGTTAGAGCTGAATACGATATTTCAATTCGCAGGGTGATGCGCTCAATGCCGGTAATCAATATAACAGAACAAAGGAGGCACTGCAGTTGTTTAGAAACGTTTCCTTCCTGGCCGTCTATACAAGTCATTGTAATTTTTAATTGCATCGACCGTGATTTCTCTTTGGATGTAAATTGATTTATCTCAGACTTAAAAGGTCTTTCTAAGGTCTACTGATTTAAAAAAAAAAAAACAAAACATTATAAATAGTTCCTATAAAAACTGAATTGAAATTTATAACAATGAAGATGTTCTATCTGATCAAGTTCATATTATTTGACTTTCATCAAGAACAAAAGGAAAAACATTTATCTCATTTCTAAAACGTGATGGACATTACCATAATATATCTATCTACTTGCTGTAAACAACAAAGGCCGTACAAAATACTTTTAAATCGAACGTCTTAGATGTTGAATGGGAGCACAGCGTTTTAAATAACTGTAAATAATAGTAAGAATTTGAGTTACGCTACATTTTACGTCGAAGATTGTGCTTTAGCTATGATTTATGGTCGAGTGTTGTTTTTGATTTCACATTAAATGTAAATGGTAATGCATGCAAGGCGTTCGTATTTGTATCTTTAGAATTATTGACGTTCTATACACGAATAGATGATTGCACATGGCACCTAGCCTTGAAGTGATGTGGAATCAATAATCTTAATTATACTTTATTACATCGAAATGACTTTTTAATAGATTTATTATTTAGAACGTTTGGCTAAATCTTTCACTAAATTGTCATATTAGATAACTTGTAATTAAATATTAAAGCACTTTTCAGCTTTGAATTTATCTTTTTTGGAAGCACTTTTAACAGTAATATTTTAAGTATAGTATGTATAATAGTACAGTATATACTGTAGAAGTGCCGCGTAAATAGCTTTGCAAATAAATTTTCGCCTTTTTACTTTATATTCGATTAAATTGCAGTTCGAATCGTGCTGTTATAAATAAGTTAAAGGGAAAATGTTGATCACGACTTACTTGATGGTCGGAACTTCGATACGTCCGTGCCGCATTTCTCCCTGTAGTACAGCAATCGCTTGCACACCCGCCATGGTCCGAAGTAGCCTTGATCGAAGTTTGGATTGTCTACTGTGGACAAAATTAAAAACACAAATTAGTTTAGTAATGCACGAGTCACATCAACTGTAAGAGCAAGTCGACTTAAAATCGCTTAAAAAATATGTCACCTCCAGGGTGTAAGTTTTTAATATTTATGAGACTACCTATAAATTACAAAAAAAAAAAACTAACTATTGACAGCGATATCGCAATATACACACACAAAAGTCATACAACCGAATTGAGTACAACTTCATTGGCTACTGAAGTAGGTCAAAAACAAAAACTAATGGCTTACATTTGTAGCACATCAACCAGTAGCTATAAACATTAATATAATATCTTAGAATTCTTTTTCTTTCGCCCTCGCTTCGCCCGGGTTCGCCTCTAGAAAAACACTAACAAGCCTATCCCACGAGAACTGTACATTTTTCCGGGATAAAAAGTAACCTATGGGTTATTCCACACTATAATCTATCTCTGTGCCAAATTTCATCCAGATCTGTTAAGCCGTTCTGGCGTGAAAGTGTAGGTAACAAACATCCATTCATCCATACTCACCTTTGATCAAAAATATTGTTGATCGAAGATACTCACAAACTTTCACATTATTTATAATATGAGTATGGATATTTGTCCAATTAATTTTATGAGGCTCAAGTAAAGGAATATGTACAATAATTACTTATATAAAACATTATGTAGTGAGAAAAAATATCTCAAAAAAAAAAGTTATTATTTACTATTTTAAAGTATTTTATCCACTTTTAGTCCGTTGTGAAAAAATATTTGAATGAACTATTTAATAACCTTGCGATGGACATAAAAGTGACAAGGAAGCTAAATATAGCTGTAATAGGCTTTTTTGTTAAACGAAATTCGAGACGGTCACGGAAGTTTGGGGGAAGAAACTAATAAAACTTTTAAGGCTCTATAAATCGTTTGATGCAAAATGCCACACCTTCGTACTGTCAAATTTGACGTTTGTCCCGACCTAATTTCTGGCTAAAAATAGGTTGTGGTAAGCAGCTTTCAAAGTTTCAATTCAGCCAAATATCTCGAAATCGTTTAACCTAATTTAAAAAAACAATTGTTTAGTTGAAGTAAATTTTACATATACAAATCATTATTTATAACTTATTTTCTTTTATAGACAAGTGATAAATTAAAAATTTTATCTATAATATCCATACTAATATGTTTTACAGATTTTTAGAGGGATAAGAACAAGTCGTTTTACAATTTTAAAAATGATTCCCAAATGAGAGTTAATAAAAACTTAAAAAAAAAACCACTTCCAGGCACTACTACAATGTAAAAAATAACTAAACAATGGAGGTTTTCATTTAGAATAGATACCTAATCAGATATTTTCGAAGTGGGTGCCAGCCATCTAATATATTTCGATACGTAAAATAAATATTTACCTATTAGATATTCATATCTTAAAATATTGTAGGCCATAATAAATCACAAGGTTGAATGAAGAGAACAGCGTCCATCACGATTCCTCAGAAACACGATAATTTAATTTATGTACTGCCGTGAATTGGATGCTGGCTAATTTAGTAACGAGGCTTAGCTCTATTACAATCCATAATTTTATTAATTCGCATAATGCAATCATAATTCCAATTAATTAGAGTATTAACACAAAATAACATTTTAGTGAATACTAAATATTTTAAAAATTGATTAATCTCTTCTTTAGTTCGAATAGTTTAATAGGTCTAAAAGGAAACATATTAATCTTAAAAACTTTCCATATCTATACCTACTGTGTGTGTATATAATAAAGTTCTAAGTCGAACCTGTACATAAAATATTTTTTTGGAAAATCTTATTGAAATAGTCATTATTATCGATACAAATGCCGAATCTATAGTTTTTAGAATTTTTGTCTGTTTGTCTTATATGGGAAGGCATCACGAGGAAACCACTGGACAGATTTTAATGAAATTTGGTATGATGATAGCTGGTTATCCGGATCAACGCTTAGAATACTTTTTACTCTGGGGAAAATATCTCATCTCTGAGAAATCTAAAATAACTGTTAAATGTTTCTCAAATTGTAACAGAAAAAAGAATGGAATAAGCAAATACTTAAATTACTTAACACTTAAAACAAGACGTAAAATAGTAAACAGTACGAGTACAAGCTTACACCATAATTATACTGTTCTTAAATAGAAAACATTTTGTTAGGTACCGTGTAGCGTAGTTTCCTGAACTCCGACCTAGCCCAACATCAAACTCCCAAAAGAATGCTTTAAAAAATTTCCTAAGAACCGATAATTACCGAAGGTGTTTAAAAATAGATTAATATTTCAATAATAGTCTACCTGCTAATGTGCTATGAACTCATACTACGATAAGGAAAAGTGAGCATTATTTTTGATGTTTACTCATTTAAAAAATTACAGACGCTTTCAAAACCATTGGCTAAAACCGGACCAATAATAAAAAGGTTATTACACCTTAAGAATGACGTTATTCAAAAAATATAATAGTGTCAACAAGTATGTATTCTAACTTATCCTTCTTCAATTACATTTGTCACGATTTTCAAAATTGAATTGCAACATAAAAAAACGTATAGAAACAACTTTTTAAGTATTTTTGCTTTTGTTCCCTCTATAGACCTAAGTTGAATTTCAAAGGCTATTGTTGCGATTATAATCGTAGAATGTTAATTACACATATTATTATTTTTAATTTTTATCCTAATTTGGTAAAGATTAAAACACCGCATTAGACAGCGGCATTTAAAAAGTTAAAATATCGGGAACTCATAAAAATAAGTGAAAAAAATGGTAAATATCCGGTTTTACATCGTAAAATGAAGCAAAAACATCTATTTGTTTTATAAATAACTTATTTGATAAAATAATTATAATAAATAAATGAAAACAAAACCTCATTCGTTTACTAGAAACTAGTATTTTCTTAATATAAAAACTCAGAAATCCTTGATAGCTAATTAGCTGCACGTATCAAGGAAGGGCCGTCGAGACTCAAGAGACACATTTGCACCTCATTAACGGTGACTCACGTGGCATGTGTCAATTACCTGACCTTGCTTGCAACAGAGTGACCTATATCATAGTCCCTTAACTTATGTTATTCATACACTTTTAAGCGAAATGTGTTCAAATAAATCAAAATGTCTTATTAACTACCATGAAATTCTGGAAAAAATCTAAATATGTACATTATTATTAGCTAAGCCTAACAGTAGCCTATGTTTAACTTTAAGTCATCTACACTAATAATATAAATGTGAAAGTTTGTGAGTACGTATGTATGTATGTTTGTTTGTTACTCTTTCCCGCCAGAACAGCTGAACGGATCTGGATAAAATTTGGCACAGAGATAGATTATAGTCTGGAATAACACATGGCTTTTTATTCCGGAAAAATATACGGTTCCCGAGGGATAGATTTGTTTTTGTTTTCGTTATAGTCTATATACTAAATTTTATCCAAATCCGTCCAGTTGTTTCAGCGTGAAGGAGTAATACAGGCACAAGCATGCACACATACAAACTTTCGCATTTATAATTTTCATAATTTATGAACAATAGTTTTTACTGCGTAGAGCTCTTAGGAAATTCAATTGAATTTGATTTCCTTGGTAATGGCTTCAAAGCGTGATAGTTGAGCACAGATTACTTCGCTTCTCTTAGGAAATACTTGTCATCAATATCTCTGTTATTTTCGAATTTATAATTCTAGTTTTTCAATGTTTTGACTGTGATAGCAATAAGTTTTTTCGTTTAAATATTGTCTATATTTTGTCACGCCCGATTTGTGCAAACTCTTAACGTATGTAGTATTAGGGGAGCCGAAGAGGGGATTTTCTGTAGTTACTCGAGCGCGGCAGATTAATATACAGGGGGATACCTTGTACCCGGTTAAGTACCTCCACAAAACATGAGGCCCATATATAAGGCCGCCCGTGAAGGATACAGGATCAGATTAGTAAAAAAAAAAAATTGACCATCAGGAATTCTCGAGCGCGTCAGATTAAGGTAGGGTGAGTTAATTACATCCTAAAAAGTGTATATTCCACTAATCTGACAATTTGAGAGTGACGTAAAAAAAGGGGAGGGCAACAAAGTTGTAAAAAAAAAACGTCATCTCGACATTCTCGAGCGTAGCTAATTTTTTTTTATTTTGAAGGAAATAATTCAAGAATAATGAAAAATATATAATCTGACGATTTCCGCAAGCCGAAATAACAAAAATTCGTCGATAAAGTTAAATGCGTGCAGCTGCGTGATGCCTACATTTCCTTCTCCGTGTGTCTATTCCTCTCTCACTCTTTCTCTATCTATTACTCTCTCACTCCGTCCCCACTCTGGTTTCTGCCGCCATCACAGCTGATCATAAAGACTCGTTCGTGGCATATTGTTTACAACGTGTTTCCAACGTTTTAGCTTTTTTTTGCTATTTTAATATTATTTGTGTGAAGTATGATGTTGTCACTAAGTCTGTATGTATGTATGGGTGTGTGTATGTGTGACTCGCTTATATCTTTTCAACGACTAAACCGATCGGAATCTACTAAACGGCGTTCTAAAGATTTTCCTCAAAATTAGATTTCCTGTGAATTTGAACCGATTCGGACCGATAGATTTTGAGAAATTTTGAAAAATCTCAAAGTGGTTTTTTTGGAATAACTTTTAACCGGCTTTTTCAATTAACTTCAAAAACTAATCCGCTCTTAAGCTAGAAAAACCACGCCGATCGTCGCTAATCCGGTCAAAATCGGTTGATTCGTTCGAGAGATATCGTGAACGAAAGAAAACCGAAAAAGTGTTTTTTCGGGATTACTCCGAAATTTTTGGTTCGATCAATTAAAACCTGAAAATAACTTATGAGGATGATAAAACTGCATCGAATGGCGTCAACCGTGTGAAAATTGCTTGATCTATTCAAAAGTTATTGCGGTTTGAAATTTCAAAAATAGTGTTCTATGAAACTTCTATCAGACTTTCGAGCTGGGAGAGATCAAATGCATAGAAATAT